TAAGTAATACCAGCACAATTAAAAAAAAAAACAAGCTTCACATAATGGTCCCACCCTCCCCAATTTTGGCATAAAATATGTGACGATTATGCGGTGAAATATAGTATTGCAATAGTCCAGGTATGAGGGGATAAGAGCCTGCACTAGATGGGTGGCAATGTCAGAGGAAAAGAAGGGGGGACACATTCAACAGATGCTGCAGAGGTGAAATTGACAGGCCTTGGCAACAGTTTGGATATTGGTGGGGTTCTGGGGTGGACTGTGAGAGATAGAGAGGAGTCCAGGATGACTCCTAGGTTGTGAACCTGGAGCACTGGGAGGATGGTGTTGCTCTCAAAGGAAGGTAGGAGGAAGGGAGGGTCTAGGGGAAAAGATAACGAGTTTTGGTCATATTGAGTTTAAGATGTCTACTGCACATCTAGTTCAAGAAAATCTGAAAGGCATTTGGAGATTTGAGATTGAAGGTAAGCAGAAAGGTTAGGACAGAATAGGTAGGTTTGAGAATCAGCAAAGATGATAATTAAATCCATGGAAGCTAATGAGGCCAGCAAGTGAAGTAGTATAGAGGGAGAAGAGGGCCCAGGGCAGAACCCTGAGGGACACCTATGGTTGGAGGGCATGATCTGGAGAAGGACCCAGCAAAGGAGACTGAGGAGCAGTCAGATGGGTAGGAAGAGAACCAAGAGAGAGTAAAGATCCTCACATATTGGCTACTTTTTACTTTTCCAGTTTTCTTAGAGATTACTCCCATACTGGCTTATTTGCTTTTCCTCACACAGGACATTCCATCTCTTTTAGGACTTCATACTGGCCTGTCTTCCATGCCTAAAATGTACTCCCTCCCTACCTCTGCTTTTTGGAATCCCTGGTTTCCTTCAAAACTCAGCTTAAATGCCATTTTCTGCATTCAGCCTTTTCTGATGTCCTCCCCAGGTACTAGTGCCCTCCCTCCTCAAACTTACCCTTGTATATATTCTATAAATACTTGTATGTGTATATGTTGTCTCTTCCATTGGAATGTAAGCTTCTTAAGGGCAGAGGCTGTTCTGCTTTTGTTTTTGTATCTCCCCCTTAGCACTGCCTTGCAAAAATTAGAAGATTTTTAAAATATATTTTTGTTGATATATTGCTTTTTATATCACTTGTGTTTCTCACTATATTCCCTTTAAAGTATAAAAAAAAAAAGGAAAAAAGTTAAGAAAAACTAACCAACACAACAGAAACATCTGATAGTTGCACAGTAGCATAATGAGGAACTTGCATTATTCCCAGCTCATGGACTTTCCATTCCTTCAAAGGAGTAGGAGCAGGTGTCTTCTGATATCTCTTCTTTGGGACCATGTTTGTGCATTATAATTTCACAGCATTCATTTTCAAACAGCATTCAGTTTCAAGTGTTCTGTTCTTTATATTTACTTTGTTGTGGTCATCATGTGTATTATTTTCTTGGTTCTACTGACTTGACTTTGCATCAGTTCATATCTCTATTCATCATGTGCCTCATTTCTTAGAACACAGTGATATTTCATTACCACCATAATTTGTTTAGTCATTTCCCAAGGAATGATCATAGTAGGTATTTAGTAAACACTTGTTGATTTGTTCTCTTTGCTTGAAGAATTCATGATCAAAAAAAAAATTCATGGTTTATCAGCAAGAGGCTTCTAAGTAGTCCACAAGTTTTTGATCTCTTTCATTTCTTAATCCTAAACCATATTTTCCAACATGTTTCCTGCATACTTATATGGCCCAAATTTCCTAGTCTTTCAACCTATATAGGAATGAGACAACGAAAAGAAACCCAGGCTGTTTTTTTTTTATAATCTGTGGTGGGGAAGTCAGTCTGTGGTTGGACTTTAGTTAAGCTAAGAAATCTGAACCTCATCCTGTAAATCCATCCATTTCTGTTTTTCCATTGGGTTCATTTCCATTAGTTCACTCTTCCTTGTTTCTTAGTAAAGCTTTTTGTTTTCTTTAAAGATTCTGGCTTTGCTGTAAACCACTGAAGAAGGAACAGGATCTGTATACATGTACCCCTGTTCAGCAGACGTGAGGGGGTTCCACCCTTATTGGCCAGGTGTGGTTGTGGTAGTGACAGGACTGCCTTCAGATTCTAAGAAAAGCTTATCTAGCTTAGACATCTCATCCAGCTACAGAAAAACCTAGGGAAGAGGTGCATGGGTTCCCTTTTGTAGCCTGGGAGTCATCTTTCTCCACACCACCCCATCTTTCTCCACTGGAAGCAATATACTCCCAGTGACCTGGATTACTTAATTCTTGGTTGTTCCTCTTGCAGGTGGCCAGCACGAGAACACCTTCAGCTGAGCAAAGTCAAATTGCTCGATTGCTCAGTGATAGCTTCTCTTTGGTGCGGCAGGAACTGGAGGCCCTGGCCGGTGTGGTGACAGCCAGCCCGAATGGGAGCCCCAGTGCTGTGGGAGCTGAGCAGACTCAGGCACTGCTGGAGCAGTACTCAGAGCTGCTGCTCCGGGCTGTGGAACGACGCATGGAACGGAGGCTCTGAGCCCCAGAGCACCTGTTCAAAGGGGTGTTGTCCCCCCTTCACCTTCTTCCCCATGGACCTGTGTCAAGACTCTTGAAACCTGAAGGGTCTACCCTCTGGGCAACCTTCAGATGGAAAGTGGGGGACCCAGCTTTCCCATATTTTCCTCAGTGCTCCCTGGACCTATTTATTAATTTATTTTCCTGACATTGTCCCACTCCTGACGTCTGCCTCCACAGTGCCTCCGGATGCTTGTATCTGGAGCAGATCTGAAGACTGCCCAAAGTTTTCTTGCCGCTGCATGGAAGCTGTGGGGAGTTGGGAAGCAGTTCATCCCATTGGGTTCGGGGGAACTGGGGAGGGGGTCCTAGACCCTCCTTTCTTTGAAGCCATTTGAAACACTGCAGGGATCAGCTCCCTGGGCTGAAGCAAATACAGGGTATTCAGTGGGGTAAAGGCACTTAGTGCCCCACCTCACCAATGGCAGGAAGTCCTGCCTCCGTCCCCCGTGCCCTGAAACTTAGCTAGGCTTCTCCAATGCATGAATAGAAGGTCCCAATGGCTGGCACTGTCACCATTGTTCCCCTGCAGTGCAGAAATGCAAAATCCTCTGGATCTTATTATCTATGGTACTCAACCATTAGGGAACAAGAATGGTCGGGTCAGGGATACCTCCTTCCCTTTAATTTGTCCCCTTTCAAAGGGCCCTTCCCCCAACATTGTCTACATTCCCCTCCAAGGAAGAAGTGTTCTTCTCCCTATCCCCCAGAGTATGTGGGGCCAACTCTATGAGGCGTTATTACTGCAGGTCAGTAAGGTTTTCAGGCTGGGTGTACCATGGAGTTCTGGTCTCCTCGTTCTTCTGTTCCACCCCCAATCCCACTTTCCCTTCTTTATATTATTCCTGAATTCTAGACTGTAGAAGCCAAGCATTTTTTCTGATAACTTAGGTGCTTGGTCAAAGTCTGTAGGGATGAGGGCTGGAGCTTCCCATCTGCCTTTGAAGGGCAGTTCTAAGGTGCTAGCCCCATCACAACTGTCCATCCTCCAAGGATTTCAGAAGCAGGAACCTCAGACTATGATCCCCTTTCCTCCCCACTCATTCTTCCAACTGTGGCGACTGCCCTTGCAGTCCTTGGCTTTGCCCCCTGCACTGATTCTCAACACAATCTTCCCCATTTTCTCTGATGAAACTTAATGTGGCACCTGAAAGGGTGTGGGCTCAGAGCTCTGTGTGGCAGATTTGACAAAGTAATTGTTACTCTAGCCACAGGATGGGCTCCCTGGCTGCCATAGGACAACAGGAGATCTCACTTAAAGCCATATAGTCTGGAAAGCAGGCCTTCTTTAGAACAGTATTGTGTAGCCATCACACTGGGTTCTTAGTGTATTGTGATGTTGAGAGGACAGAGGCTCAGGTAGCTATCAATCTAGCCAATGGCTCAGAGACATTTTGGGAAGGAAGTAAGTGGAACAGGTTCAGGGGAGAGGTTAGAAACAGTAGTGTAGGGTAGGGGGCTGAGTATTAGAAAGGACAGTTATGAGTGGAGGAGAGAGATTAGTAGAAGGGTGGGCATGTAAAAGTAGGACCTAGTAGGTTTCATATAAGAACTGAGGGTTATGAGAGTTTGTCTCTGGGACCTCTGCTGCGGGCTCCTTGTAGAGAAGGGTGCTTCTGTGTAGAGGGTGCTTCCCCGTGTCAACAAAAGGCCTTGCAATCCTGGTCAACCGAAGCAGAAGACTTGGGGACAATTTGGGGCTTAGCTGTGCTTGATTATTCCTGCATCTTCTCACTTCCACGTTCCCACAAGCTCTTCCCTTCTCCCCACCGCACCATCCTGAGCACTGACATCCGCATGAGCCACCCTTAGGAAGGCCCTGTGGCATGTGTGGTACACATCAGTGAGACCAGAAACCTGGGAAGGCTTGCCACGCACCGGAGCTCAGGGGCGCATTTCCGAAATCCACTCCAAACCCGCCCCTGTCCGCCGAAGCCTCACTCCAGCCTCCCAGACCAAGCCAGCCAGGGTCCAATGCTGCAGTTTAATCCAGACCGCGAACCTCGCGTTACCCTTTGCCTTTCCACGGGGCCTCCCCGTGCTCGGTGGAGGCCCCCATTGCCCCTCGCGTTTCCCCGCTCCCAGGAGGAGGGACTAATCACTTTACTAAGTAAAGGCCTCAGCCTCTACCGCCCTCGGCCCGCGATGAGCCGGGCGCCTCTGCATGCCCGAAGTCTGGCACTGCCCCTTGTCCATTGCCATTTTGAACACTCCTTATTTATAACTTTTATACTTCGGCCCCAGGCCTCGCTCTGCCCCCTTCCCTGTGCTTCCCTGCGGGGCTGGGGTCCTTTTTAACGTGTCCGTTTGTATTCTTGTCGAACCAGTCAATAAAACACGGCTCCTTTGTTACGGACTGGCGGCTTTGCTGTGCGTCGCTGCGGGGGGCGGGGCCTGGGCCTCCCGCAGGGAGCGGCTTCGGGGCTGGGAGGGGCTCTCGGGCCCGGCGTGGCTATGGCGGAGGCGGCGCTGGACGCCGTGCGAAAGCATTTATCAGAATTCCCAAATGCTGCGCGGGGTGAGTGGGGTTTACTGCGAGGCTACGGCGGCCTTCTGTGGCCGTGCCCGGGGCAGGGAGCCGGTGCACGCCGGGATTAGTAGTCCTGGGGCGCGGGCCTCACCTCCGCGAGGTTCCGGCTGCCGCGGCCTCCTAGGGTGCAGGCGCAGTGCATCCTGGGAGTTGTGTAGCCCTTGGAGGTCATAGAGCAGCGCGGGCGCTGAAGGCCTGGGGGTGGTGGGAGCTTTGTTTTCTGGGAGACGGGCTGGCAAGTTGGGGGACTTGGGGGGAGGGTGCAGGATGGAAACAACCCATTTTAATTCATTGCGTAAGCCCCTCCCTGTGTTCTGGGGAGAGGCTCTGCCCTCATGGAGTTTACACTCCAGAAGCCCAACTCCAACTGTCCCAGCAGTTTCCAGGGCCTTTCAGATAGGCCCAGGCCTCCCCAGGGCCCGAGGAAGGCAGGCTGTGTGATGATGGGCAGGACGGACCGGAGGGAGGAGCGGAGTGACGACCAGCTGGGATGGGAGGGATTTGGGAATGGGGGGCCGGGGAATGCTGGATCTGGAGTCTGAGGAGGACCAGCCTTCAAATCCCACCACTTATTCCTTGACCTTGGGCCAGATACGATATCTCTGGCTGTCAGTTTCTTCCTTTATAAATTGTGCTTGCATCCCATGACCTCGAGGCCTTTTCATTTCTAAGGCCATGCCCCTAAGGAAGAAATTTGGTGAGAGATTATAGAGAGGGTCCCCAAAGTCTTAAGTGCAGTTATGAAGCCTCACTAAGACTTTTGCCCTACCCCCACCATATGAAGGAACAGAAGAATTAAAACATGAATTCAAAGTTTGTAGCTTTGGATACCGGAATGGGACTACGAATGAGATGGCTGAGAAGGGAAACTTTTTTGGAGGGGTGGGGGTGGTGTGGAAGCTAGATTCTCTTTTGGACATATTGAGGTTGAGGTGATAGTGGGACTTCAAAATAGAGATGACCTTGCTTAAATGGTTCCCTGCTCCTTCTCCCCTCTACGAAATAATGTTTGTACTCCAAAGCCCAACTCAAGTCCTTATCTCCTCAATGAATGAAGCCTTATGTGATTGATCTCTCAGCCCACACATCTCTCTCTGCAGAAATCCTACTGCCCTTAGTGATACTTAGATTTCCACAAAGAAATACTGAATTGTCTTCTTTTCTCTTTAAGTTCAATTTTATTTTCAAGTCTGCATTCTCTTCCACTCCCCACTTTGAGAAAGCAATAAAAACTAAACCAATTATATGTATAATCAAGCAAAACAAATTCTTGAATTGGCCGTATCCAAACATACACACACACACACACACAACATATATAAATTGTTCTCCTTGTTCTGGTCTTTTCACTCTGCATCAGTTCACATAAATCTTCTCAGGTTTCTCCCAAACTGTCCCCTTCATCCTTTCTTACAGCACAATAGTTTTCCAATACATTCCTTTACCTTAATTTGTTCAGCTCTTTCCCATTGAATGGGCATCCCCTCAGTTTCCAATTCTTTGCCACCACAAAAAAAAACCAAAAACCTATGAATATTTTTGTGTATATGGGTCCTTTTCTTCTGTGATCTCTTTGAGGTATAGACTGCCAATCCCTGGGAAAGTCTGGGACACTTCTACAACCTCTGCCATCTTGCAGTTTGGCTATTTTGATGACCCTATGGGTGACCCTGGCTAGGGGTCAGGTCAGTGGCCTGCCTCTGTTGGCTAAAAGCGGCTTAAACCCAATGCTGTGGTTTTTCTGGGAAAGTGCTATCACACTTTAATGAATAACTTGTGAACCACTGTTCCATCTATCCACCTAGCTGCCCTCCTTCTGAGTGCATATAACCCCTGTTTGTAACTCTGCTCACTGAACTTCCGTCTGAGTAAGACAGTGGGGTTTTTCCAAATTGCAAATCTTTGACCCTGAATAAATGCCTCACTTTATTTATTGATCACCTTGTTGATCTGATTTTTATACAGGCTTGTGATATTGCGGACTCAGAGGGTAAGAATGACTTAATAGCTTTGGGGGCTGAATTATTTTCTGATTATTATTGTTTTGTATGTGGCTTAGCCCCACAGTCTCCATCCCCTACCCCGCCCAGCTCCTTGTGGGCTGTGGCCTGTTCTCTAATGGTTCTTTAATGTCTCCAAGGCACTTAGCACAGCACTGGTACGTTGATGGAATCCACAGTACATGCACCTACACAGCTTAATTAATAATTCATAAGACTTGGATCCAGCAAGACTTGTGTGTGAATCCCTGCTCAGTTACATGCTACCTGGGCAAGTTAATTAACCTGTCTAGATTCAGTTTCCTTAAATGTAAAATTGGGAGATGGTAACAGCACCTACCTCACAAAATGGTTGTAAGGTTCTGAGGAGACGAGGTATTTAAAGTGCTATGTCGGGTGTGAGTTGTTATTAGCCTCAAGGCTCTGGACGCTGCGCTGCTCACTGGTGAGCTGGGAGGCTGTGTCAGGCTGGGATAGAGAGAACTGAGGCTAACATGTATGACTAAATCTATGCGAATCCATAAAGAGGGAGGGAGGAAAGGAGAGAAGAAGCATTATATAGCATCTACAATGTACCAGGCACTGTGAAAAGTGCTTTATAAATATCTCATTTGATCCTCACAACAACCCTGTGAGGTAGATGCTGTTGCTATCCCCATTCTACAGTTGAGGAAACTGAGGCAAACAGAGGTTAAGTGACTTGCCCAAGGTCATACAGTTAGTAAGTGGCTGGGGGCAGATTTGAACTCAGATTTGAACTCCAGGCCCAGTGTTCTGTCCACTGTGCCACCTAGCTGCCTTTGGGTTGTAGATCAAATGGGCAGGGGCCCCAGGATATAAATGACCCTCTTGATTCCTTGAACAGGTGTATTCATTTGTCCTTTACCCCTGATTTGTCTCCCTTCTCCCCATATTCAAGCCAGGGTCGGGCCCCTTGGGCATTTAGGGTAAGTGTCCAGGGGGACACAGTGCAGACTGTACAAGATAATATTCCTGATTCCCTTTCTCTCCTAGTAAATAAAGTCAGAGTCCCTGACCCCAGATGTCTTAGCCCTTGTCTCTCCTCAGAGCTCAGCGTGCCATTCACTGTGCCATACCTGGAAGGGCCCCCGACCCCTCTCCAATTCTACAGAGACTGGGTGTGTCCCAACAGGCCTTGCATCATTCGTAATGCCCTGCAACACTGGCCCGCCCTAAAGAAGTGGACATTCTCCTACCTCAGGTGAGAGCTGCCTTTTTTTGTAATGATGTGGGGACACTGTTCCACTAGGTGTCAGGAAGTCTGAGCCAGGGCCCAGGGACTGACCGTCAATTCCCTGCAGAGCCACCGTGGGCAGCACGGAGGTGAGTGTCGCTGTGACGCCGGATGGGTATGCCGATGCAGTGTGTGGGGACCGGTTTGTGATGCCCGCAGAGCGGCGGCTGCCTCTGGGAGCAGTGATTGATGTGCTGGAGGGCAAGGCCTGTCACCCTGGGGTGCTATATGTGCAGAAGCAATGCTCTAACCTCTCCTGTGAGCTGCCCCAGCTGCTGCTTGATGTCGAATCCCATGTGCCCTGGGCCAGTGAAGCACTGGGTAAGTTGAGGTAACTGGGGGGTGGGGATGGAGTTGAGAGGTATCTAAGGAGAAGGAAGAATCAGCTGGAGAGCAAAGTAGAACCATGATTAGAACTCAGATATTCAGGACCCCAACCCTTTGTTCATTACTTAATTCCATAAGACCAGTGGTAAGCGCTGATGTCTCTTAGAAGACATTCTACCCTTTAGAAATGGTAGGATTTAGAGATGGAAAGGACTCTCCAGGCCACTTAGTCCATCTTACAGATGAGGAAACCGAGGACCAGGGCTTGCCCAAGGTCATACAGGTAATAAGTAACAGAACTGGGATTTGAACCCAGGCCCTCTAACTCCAAACACAGAATTATTTCCACCGTTCCCTGCTATCTCCATTACTCGGTGGGAATGGAGAGGCAATGGGATGGAGAGGCAATGGGGTAGAGAGGAAGGGGGACTGAACTTGAAAGACCTGGGTTTCGGTTCCTAACTCTGATGCTTCCTAACTCTATGACCTGTGGGCAGGTTATTTAAGCTCTGTCTGAGCTTGTTTCCTCATCTGTAAAATGAGGATAGTCATACTTGCCCTATATACCTCAAGGCTGTGGTGAAGGAAGTGCCCAGCAAGCACAAAGTAGTACGTAAGTTTGACTTTTTATGTCCGTTGCCTTCTTGGCCTTATAAAGTCTGGTCTGAGCAATGACTGCCCACTCCTACCCCTCCTTATTAGAGGCTCCAATTCCCCGACCCTCTTGTGATATCAATTACAGATAAGATTCTTCTATGTAAGGTCTTTATTGAATTGTTAGCTCTTCCTGCTGTCCCCAGTTCCGGTGCCCAGGCCTCTTTGTCCACCGTGACCCTCCCTCCACCCAGACCCTTATCCGACCCTCATCTGCTGTCCTAGCTCACATGGTGGTCATGTCTATCCCTCTGTTCTCTGGGAGTGATTCCCATATCTGCCTTTGGAAGGGGAAGGAGGGAGTCCATGATCATGTTCTTTTTCCCTCTGGATTTCTAGTTAGAACGTAAACTGTTTGAAGGCAAGAACTGCTTTTTTGGCTTGTGTTAACATCCCTGGAACTCAGCATTGTGCCTAGCACATAGTAAACACTTAATAAATAAATTATACACATATATGTTGGTATGTGTGTACACATACATACGTACATACGTACGTATGTACATATGTACATACATACGTATTTAATGTTTCTCTATGTAGGGAAGATGCCTGATGCTGTGAACTTCTGGCTGGGGGAAGAAGCAGCAGTGACGTCTTGTAAGTACCAAGAGAGTCAGGGAGTAAGTGGCCAATGAATGAAGAAGCTGAGGCCAGAGTGGGAAGGCGACCACACTCTGGTGGGGAGATCCAAGTCTCCGTCATTTCCACCCACTGCTCCTAGTTGTGATCTATGAGACCAAACGAAACAGATCTAATCTCCCTTCCATAAAACAGTATTGAAAGACACAGAGACAGCTCTCAGCTAATCCCTGTTTTACCTTTTTTGACGTGGTCTTGGGTTTTAGGGTTGGGCTAGTGGCAGAGGGGGTGAGACAGATGTTGAGAGAAGCTGTCCCCAACCTCCCATGGCCTCTGATTCTTGGTCACGAAAAGGAAAAGCTTCATTCCACAGGCCCAGCGACGGAGTAGGTGGGGTACCAGCATGTGACACTATGGAAAGTCCAATAGGCTGTACTGTGTATTAAAGTACTATTACTACTCAGGACCCTGCTGCTGAGATCCCCAGGCTGCCAGAATAATTAATAATAATAATAATTAGTATTTATAAAGCCCTTTAAGGTTTGTCAAGCACTTGACATACATTATCTCATTTGATCCTATGAGGCAGGTGCTATTATTATCCTCATTTTACAGATGAGGAAACTGAGGCTAAGGAGAGGTTGGGTGACTTGCCCAGGTTAGCACACAACTAATAAGTGAGGGAGGAGGTGACTCTATCTATCCACTGTGCCTCCTAGAACTTGGCCTGCTTACAATGTGGTGTGCCTCTTGTGGCAGAATGCCAAAGCTGGAAGGGACCTCATGTCCTCATGAGGGTCTGGATGAAGAGATCATCCTGTCCAACCACCTCATTTTATGTGCAAGGAGCCTGTGACCCAGAGGGGTCACACAGCATACCTCACTTAGCCCATTATTGTGCCTCGTCAGATGCCTTCTTGTGCTTCAAATGTGAACGTGTCTTCTCAACAAGACTGTGAACTCTGGGGGAATCTCTCTTGTACTCCTTTGTATTCTCCACAGTACCTGGAAAAGCATTGCCTAGACAGGAGGCCCACAATAAATACCTGTTGATTGAATTGGAGAATTAAGGACTGTGATCCTTATGCTAGATAGTGAGGACACACACAGAAAATGAACTGGAAATGGGTCATAGTAGACCAGGTGCTAACTATAAAACCTTTCTGAAGAGTTTATATAAATATAATTAGAAATAGGTCTATCTGGGTAGGAAAGTAGCCCTTCCTGAGAAGCAAAGTCTTCTGACTCTAGGTCCTTCTGATGCTAAGATTCTGTGATTCCTTGAAAAGAAAAAATGAATTCTGTCACACGTTTAAAGATCAACTAATTCCAATATTAACTAAATTATTTGGAATAATAAGCAAAGAAGGGATCCTACCAAGCTCCTTTTATGAAACAGATATGATGCTGATATCTAAACCATAAGAGTAAAAACAGAGAAGGAAAATTATAGGCCAATTTCATTAATGAACATGGATGCAAAAATCCTAAATAAAGTACTAGCTAAAAGATTACAACAATATATTACAAAGCTTATACACTGTGACCAAGTGGGATTTGTACCAGGAATGTAAGGATGATTTAACATAAGGAAAACTATTAACATAATTGATTATATCAATAATAAAAGTTAAAATCATAGTTATGTCAGTAGATGTAGGAAAAGCTTTTGATAAAGTAAAACACTCATTTCTGTTAAAAAAAAAACACTTGAAAGCATAGGTAATGGATTTTTCCTTAAATTGATAAAAAGCATTTATCTAAAGTCATCAGCAAGCATTATTTTTAATGGGGATGAGTTAGAAGCTTTCCCAGCAAGATCAGATGTGAAACAAGGATGCCCACTATCACCAATATTATTTAGTATTATATTGGAAATCTTAGCAATAGCAATAAAAGAAGAAGAAGAGATAGAAGGAGTAAGAATAGGGAATGAGGTAATAAATGATCTCTTTTTGCAGAGGATATGATGATACACGTGGATAATCACAAAGACTCAACTAAAAAATTAGTTGAAACAATAATTTTAGCAAAGTAGCAGGATATAAAAGGCTGATACTGTAAGCAAACTAGGAGTGCAAGGAATAGTTTACTTGTCAGATCTATGGAGAAGAGAAGAATTTATGACCAAACAAGATAGAGAACATTATGAAATGCAAAATGGATAATTTTGATTACATTAAATTGAAAATATTTTGCATAAACAAAGCCAATGCAACCAAGATTAGAAGGGAAACAGAAAGCTAGGAAACAATTTTTACAGTCAGTGTCCCTAATAAAGGCCTCATTTCTAAAATATATAGAGAACTGAGTCAAATTTATAAGAATACAAGTCATTCCCCAATTGATAAATGGTCAAAGGATATGAACAGGCAGTTTTCAGAGGAAGATATTAAAGCTATTTTTAGTCATATGAAAAAAATGCTCTAAATCACTATTGATTAGAGAAATGCAAATCAAAACAACTCTGAGGTACCACATCATACCTATCAGTTTGGCTAACATGACAAAACAGGAAAATGATAAATGTTGAAGATGTGGGAAAATTGGAACACTAAGGCATTGTTGGTGGAGTTGTGAAATGATCCAACCATTCTGGAGAGCAATTTGGAACTATGCCCAAAGGGCTATAAAAATGTGCATACCCTTTGACTCAGCAATAGTACTTCTAGGACTGTATCCCAAAGAGATCATAAAAGTGGGAAAAGGACCCACATGTACAAAAATATTTATGGCAGCTCTTTTTGTGGTGGCAAAGAATTGGAAATTGAGAGGATGCCCATCAGTTGGGGAATGGCTGAACAAGTTATGGTTTGTGAATATAATGGGATACTATTTTGCTATAAGAAATGAGCAGGCAGACTTTAGAAAAACCTGGAAGGACATTTATGAACTGATGCTGAGTGAAGTGAGCAGAACCAAGAGAATATTGTACACAGTAGCAGCCACATTGTGTGATGACCAACTTTGATAGACTTAGCTCTTCTCAGCAATGCAAGGATCTAAGACAACTCCAAAAGACTCATGATGGAAAATGCTATCCATGTCCAGAGAAAAAACTTTGGAATCTGAATGCAGATGGAAGCATACTATTTGTTCTCCTTTTCTTTTGTTGTTTTGTTTCTTCTTTCTCATGTTTCCTCCCATTGGTTCTAATTCTTCTTTACATCATGAGTAATGTGAAAATGTTTAATATGAATATATAAGTAGAGCCAAGATTGCACACCATCTTGGGGAGGGGTGAGGAGAGGGAAAGGGAGAAAGTGTAAAACTCAAAATCTTATGGAAATGAATGTTGAAAACTAAAAATAAATAAATAAATTAACTATATAAAAAAAAGAAAGACAAAAAGTAGTAGGCTATAAAGTAAATCCACCTAAATCATCAGCATTCCTATATATCACAAACAAAACTCTGCAAGAAGAGATAGTGAGAGATACCTAATTTAAAATAACTGTAGACAGTATAAAATAGTGGGAGTATACCTGCCAAAACAAACCCAGGAACTATATAAACAAAATTATAAAAAAAAACTTTTTATACAAATAAAATCAGATTTAAATAAATGGGGAAATATTAATTGTTCATGAGTAGGCAGGGCCAATGTAATAAAAATGACAATTTTACCTAAACTAATTTATATATTTAATGCCATCCCAATTAAATTACCAAAAAATTATTTTACTGAATTAGAAAATAACAAAATTCACTTGGAAGAATGACAAAACAAGAATATCAAAGGAAATAATTTTTTAAAATGTAAAGGAAGGAGGTTTAGCAGTACCAGGTCTTAAACTATATTATAAGGCAGCAATTATCAGAACTCTCTGGTACTGGCTAAGAAATAGAAAGGTAGATCAATGGAATGGAGTAGACATATAATTTGCAACAGCATAGAAATATAGTAACCCTGTATTTGGCAAATGTAAAGACTTAAGATTTTGGGATAAGAATTCATTATTTGGTAAAAATTATTGGGAAATCTGAAAAACAGTGTGACAGAAATTGGGCATAGACCAATATCTTACACCATTTACCAAGATAAGGTCAAAATAAATACATGACCTAGATATAAAGAGAGATATTACAAGAAAATATAAAAAACATGCAACATATTACTTAACGGACTTGTGGATAGGCGAGCAATTTATGAATAAACAAGAGATAGAGAGCACAGTGAGGTGTAAAGTGGATAATTTTGATCACATTAAACTAAAAGGGTTTTGTGCAAATAAAACAAATGTAACCAAGATAAGAACAGGCAGTTTTCCAATGAAGAAATCAAAACAGGTTATAGTCATGTGAAAAGATGCTCTAAATCATTATTGATTAGAGAAATGTAAATTAAAACAACCTTGAGATCATTTTACACCTATTAGATTGGCTAACATGATTGAAGGGGAAAGTGACAGATGTTGGAGAGAATGTGGAAAGATTGAGATACTAATTCATTGTTGGTGGAATTGTGAACTGATCCAGCCATTTTAGAGAGCAATCTGCAATTATGCCCAAAGAGTTATTAAACTGCCTATACCCTTTGATCTAGCAATACCATTACTAGATCTATTTCCAAAGATGATTAGGGAAAAAGGAAAAGAACCTATATGTTCTAAAATATTTGTAGCAGCTCTTTTTGTGTTGGCAAAGAACTGGGAATTGTGGGGATGCCTGTCAATTGGGGAATGGCTGAACAAGTTGTGGTATATGATCATGATGGAATACTACTGTGCTATAAGAAATGAGGAGCTTGATGATCTTAGAAAAACATGGATAGACTTGCATGAAATAATGAAGAATGAAATGTGCAGAATCAAGAGAACAATGTATACAGTAATAGCAATATTGTTTTAAGAACAACTCTGAGCAAATAAGTCATTTTGACTATTATAAATACCCAAATTAACTACAAAGGACGTATGAAGGAAGATGCTAACTGCATCCAGAGAAAGAACTGATAAGTGGAAGTATGTATAGAACGATTTTACATGTATATATATATTTGTGTCTAATGGTAGCCATCATGAAGAAAAAGAAAAAAAAAGAAATTTACATGATAACTTTTATTATATATTTAAAAGGAATAGCAAGTTGTACATAACAGATTAGCAATTTTATGTGCAGTCTTTTTTTTATTATACTGTGTTATGAAAATGCTTGCTTTACTTCATAAATTAAAAATAAATAACAATTTAAAAAGGAAAGAAAAAGCCTTCTTCTACCCTCCCCAACCTCATTAGATTGTAAGCTCCTTGAGGACAGGGGTTGTTTCCTTTTTGACTTTGTACCCCCAGCATCTGGTACAGTCAGTGCCTTGTAACAGAAGTGTGTTGAATTTAATTGAAGGATATAACGTATACACTTGTGATCCCACTCTGATTGTCCTTTGGTTCTGACTTTTTAATATACTTAATATGTCCCAAGTATCCTGCTTGTTGATAGCCTTCCTTTTAAAAAAAAATGGTATCTCTGGAGTCAAGAGGACCTGAGTTCAAATCCGGCTTCAGACACATAACACTCACTAGCTGTGTGACTCTGGGCAAGTCACTTAACCCCAATTGCCTCACCCCCCCAAAAAATGATATCTAAATGTGAGTTATGTGTCCTCTGCCCTCTTGGCTTTACCTTAAAAAGTCTGATCTGAGCCTATGGCTGCCAGAGAATGGGGCTTTAAGGTGGGGCTAGAACCTGGATATTGTGTGTCTATCCTCCTTTACCAGGCCAGTCTATGCAGGAAGTCAAAATGGACCCATCTTTTCTCTTCTGAGGCCTTCTCTCTGACTCTAAACCTCTTCCCCACAATCTTTCCATGTGTTTTTCAGTGCACAAGGATCACTATGAGAACCTCTACTGTGTGATGTCTGGAGAAAAGCACTTCCTCTTGCACCCTCCCAGTGACCGCCCTTTCATCCCTTATGGTACGTGAAGTGGTAGAATGAGACTACTGTGGGGAGACTCAGAATTAAGATTAAAAAAGGGTGGTGGCGTGTTGGCCAGCCAGGAGCTATCGTGTACTTCTGGTCATAAGTGTGTGAAGGGTGGGCATTGCAACTTACCTATCTGGGCAGCTCACATCTTCTTGACACTCTGAGCTCGAGGTGGTGATGGGAAAATGGATCCCACCCAGGGATGGAAGGGAAGGAAGCAGGGAGCCTTGATTGATTCGGGAGGATGTAGCTCTTATTCAACCTTGACTGACTTTGCCCCATTCTGACCCTGCCCTTCTCCTCTTAACGCTGTTTCCTTCCTGATGTAGAGCTGTACACACCAGCAACCTATCACATGTCTGCGGATGGCTCCTTCAAGATGGTGGATGAGGAGGCCATGGAGAAGGTGTCTGTCTTACATCCAGCCTGTAGGCTTGGTGGGGGGACTGGTTGTGGGGAGAAGGCAAGCAAATAAACACAATACACACACACATACAACCACATACCTCCTGACCTACACGAATGGGAAGGGCAGGACTCTGTCCTGGAGAACACAAGTCTATTATGATTCCTGCCTGACCTCCTGCCTCATTGGTTAGAGAGATTGCTGGATATTCAGTTGATTGGAGGAGGGATGGCAAGGTTTTGGATTGTGGTGTTTGTCCCATGTAAATTACTGTTCCCTGCAGATACCTTGGATCCCACTAGATCCCTTGGCTCCAGACCTGGTTCGATTTCCATTTTACAAGCAGGCCCAGCCCCTGCACTGCACAGTGAAAGCAGGAGAAATGTTCTACCTGCCAGCTCTCTGGTTTCATCATGTCCGTCAGTCTCATGGCTGTATTGCTGGTAAGGAGTCCAAGGATAGGTAGGGGTGAGGAGGGAGAAGGTGATGGGGACTGGAATGAATATAGCGCATATTTTGCCGGGAGCTGGGGACTAGGTCCAGATTAGGTGGGGATAGGGTTCAGTGGCTGGATCAGATCCTCTTTTCTCCACAGTGAATTTCTGGTATGACATGGAATATGACCTCAAGTACAGCTACTACCAGCTTCTGGACTCCCTCTGCAAGACCACCGATCTTGCTCGGATGGACCCTCTGTGAGCTCACTGGATGGGTCACTCTAAGCCAGTCCAGAGAACCCCCTGGGGTTTTAAGGCTTTTTCCTGGATAGACACAGGGTATGGATAGGGTTCTGTTTGGGACAGTTTTGCCAAACAGGCATGGCCTTTGGAGCCAAGAACGAGCCAGGGCCAAGCTGATCTAAACTCAGTCCAGCCAGAGAGGTGAAAGGACCTGTGGGAAGTCATCTCAGGTCTGGTGAGGGGCTAGGGATTGATGGAGATGTTCAAGGGGCTGGTTGGAGGGAGGAGGAGGGAAGATGGTGCTGGGACCAGACTTACGTGTAAGAACCTTCCTGCTACCAAGTTCCTCTGTGAATGGCAGTAACTCCAGCCCTTTCCCCTCGCCTTGTGAAGCCCTTAGCGATCTCTATAAGCAGCAGCCTTGTAATTGGGACTCGTTCGGTTGAGTTCCTATAAATCTGTTTTTGGCCTTGATGTCACATGGTCTTCCTTCTTTCTTCTTTTTCACTATCAGCAAGGTAGGACTGACCCTACAGATTAATCCTACAGAGCTCTGTGGGGCACTTGGACATTTGACCCTTTGCCGGCTAGGGAGGGATTAGTACAAGGAAGCAATCTCAGATGGGGAAAAGGACAGCTTTTACCCCAGTTCCATCTTCAGTGAAGAACTACTGGGCTCTTGGGCTCAGCTCCTTCTACTGAACCCCGGAACCACTGCCTAACCTTCTTCCCAGGAACCCTGATGGACATCCTGGTGTCAGTCTAGGACATCAGCAAATTCTCCTTTTTTTATTCATCCAAGGTGACAAGATTGAAGGTCAAACTTTATGAATGAATTCAGAACAAGATGAAAACAAAGGCACAAAATCTCGAAACAGTCATGTTCACATTGGAATTTATAGTCAAAGAATCCCTTAGCCGCCATGTAAAAAAGCAAAGGGCATAAGCATTTTTATAGCACCTACTATGGGCTAGGCTCTGTGCTAAGTGCTTTACAATTACATTCTCATTTGATCCTCATAAAAACCCTGGGAGATAGGTTCTATTATTATCTCCATTTTTCAGATTAGGAAACCGAGGCAATTAGAGGTACTTGCCTAGGATCATACAACTAGTGTCCAAGGCCAAATTTGTACCCAGGTCTTCCTGATTCCAAGCCCAGCACTCTAACCCCATGCCACCGGCTGCCTCCATGTAGGCTTGACTCATACCCAAAATAGAATCTCCACTTTAGCCTTTCTTACAAGTAGCCATTCAGCCTAGGGAAACAAACATCTCCCAAGGCAGCCCATTCTCATTTTGATGACTCTAATTGTGAGGTTTCCCTGATGTCTAAGTCTTTGTGATTTCCACCCACTGCTCCTGGTTGTGCTCCACAGGACCAAACAAAACAGATCTAATCTCTCTTCCACATAACAGCATTCAGAGACATGGAGCCAGCCCTCAGGTAACCCCTATTTAACTTCGTCTGACATGGTCTTGGGTTCTAGGGTTGAGCTGATGGCAGAAGGAGTGAGATGGTGTTGGGAGAAGCTGTCCCCAACCTCCCAGAGCCATTCTTCACAAACAGAAGACACCTGCCTAGTGATGACGATGTTCTGGGAAGGAGTTGGACTCCACAGTCATGCTGTCCGTCCATTCTTCCACTTTTTCCTTACCCACACACCATACCCAGACCCTACCTCCATTCTGGGTTCATCACATTAAGTCTTTCCAACATCTGTCTGCAGCTGCAAAGATGCTTGAACATGTTGGCCTTATTTTCCCTGAATACCTCACACAGCCCATTTCCCACCTACCTTAGCAAGCTGAAGCTCTCCCTCCTTGTTAAGATGGGAGAGCCTGGGCCTGACACATTCTTCTTAGATGGGCCTCAAGCCAGCTGTTTCAATCAGGGTTGGGGATTCCTGTCCTGCTGGCACAGGAAGATTGTGAAACATAGGCTCTTACCAATACCAATAAGAGCATGGGTTTTTTATGCATCTTTTTTGGAGTTCCCTTCCTGGCCTGCTGATTCCTTCAAGTGCCACCTAGTATCTTCCTCTCCAAACTCCTGGACATTTGGCCTTTTGCTAGCAGAGGTAGGGAGGGATCTATACAACGAAGCAACCTCAGCTGGGCAAGGGGACAGCTTCCTTAGCCTTAGACAGAACATGAGCCTCCCATCTGTTGGGAAACCAAGATCCAGGGAGTGGAGGACCAGGATGAACCAGACAGGGAACCCTGGCATCTGGCTTAGCTCTGTATGTGTGTATTGCCTGCCTCATTTGTAGCATAGGTGGTTATTTCAGAAATGGGTGTGGGTTTGAGCCAAGGCCAAGGAAGGTGGGAGGAGCTCTGAGCCATCTGTGACATCCCTGGCCCCAGTGTACCTACATACCTAGGCTTCATTGTGGTTGAGACTACATCTTCCCCGGCGCTCCACAGGATTTGAAAGGCATGGCTCTGGTAAGGACCCATCAGGGAACTGGGCTCCTGGTGGTTGGGCTCAGAGTCCTGGCACACCAATTCTCACTGCCAGGCTTCTCTAGCTGCAGGGATGACCTTGTACAAGCCTATTTCTCTTCCTCACTGGACCAGGAGTAACTAGAGATGCTTCCTCCCTGGGTGGAGGAGAAGCTGTCTCTTGGTCCTGTGCCCAGAGTCAGGAGTAGTGTTACAGAAGGAGGAGATGGGGTTTGGGGAGAGGAGGAGAGTCAGGTACTCTCCATATGAGGAGGGATGAAGGATCTAAGGAAACAACCTGGAGAAGAGAAGATTTGAAGGGGATATGGAAGATGTTTTCAAATATTTGAAAGGTCATTATGTGGAAAAACTAGATTTTGTTCTGCTTGGCCTCAGAGGGCAGGCCTGGAAGCAATGGGAGAAATTTCAAAGATACACGTTTAGTCTTGATATTAGATACTCAGTGGTTCTGTTAGAACTATCTGAAAGTGGAATGAGCCACCTCAGGAGGGGGTAGGTTTTCCCTACCACCGGAGGCTGTTACACAGAAGCTGGAAGACCACTTGTCAGATATATTGTAGTGGGGATTCTTTGGGGGTATGACTTAAACTGGATAGCAATCGAGGGCCCTTCCAAATTGGGGATTCTGAGTTTCTGGTACAAAGTGTGCAGGGGGCTCCAGAATATGCCCTGAGTCAAACTTAAAGTTAGAAAGGCCTTTGGGTGCCCACAAGCAGACTCCAGATAGAGCTTCTTGGGACCAGAGTTACTTGGTTTCCATGCTATCTGAGGCCTCTGGCCACCAACCTCCCTGGGCCTCAGAAGGAAGTGAATGACTTGCCTTAGAGAGCATCCTTTGTGACTCAGCAACTCCTGGCTAGGGGGTGTGGGGGCCTTAGGGCTGACATGGGCCAAGCCTCCTTTGTTCTCCAGAGGGAGTTCTTGTCCCTGCTGTCATTCACTGATAGTCTAAAGATAAGAGGGAGGGGTAAGTGGCACCCCAACACCCCTCGGGCAAATCAGGGCAGGCTATACTGGGGGTATTGGTGGTTGGGAAGCTCCTTCCCAAGGCAAGCCTTCCAAAGGCAGAAGGTAATCGAATGAGGTGGGAGAAGCTATAGATGCAAAACTTGGGGAGATGGAATCCCTCTAATAGAAACAGAATCAATCCATCAACAAGTATTTACTAGGCACTGAGAATACAAATACAAGGAATGAAGCTATCCTGCTCTCAAGGAGGGAATTCATTTCTTCTTGGCTTGTAATCTGGCCAAAGGTCAGGAAAAAGGACCACCACTAACAACTAACCCTTTAATTTGGCACAGGGACCCAGGGCCAAGCCAGCAACTGACATACCTTTTCCACTGTACTCTTTCTGTCTTACCACCAAAGCAAATCCTCCCTGCCTCCCTCACATCCAGATCAGCCTTAATTTTGTCAGCAGATAATCTGGGCTCAGTTGTAAGATGAAAGATGGGGGAGGGAGGGAGAAAAGGAGGATGAGTGAGATATGAAAGGAAGGAAGAGAAGGAAGAAAGAAAACAAGAAAGACAAAGACAAACTATGTTGAAGGAAGTGGAGATTCTACATCAACAGCTTCATCTCCATTCCCAATTCAGGATTGGCCAAGGGGAAGGCAATGATTGAATACCTGTGTGAGTTATGTGTCCCCTGTGGTACACTCCTTTGGTGTGCGGCTGAAAAAAGCAAGGGGTCACCCCAGTCTATATCAACCTCCAATAATCATATACCTGCTCATTTACCTCTCTTCCTCATAGCCCGTGCCTGGTAGCAGTCTGCTCTCTGTTCGGGTCCTGAAGGCCCATGGCTTCCCATCCAAAGACATACGTGAGTACAGAATTCCTTTCCTAGCCCCTTCCTTCCCTGTCTGCTTGATAGCCCTGAATCCACCCGGGGGCCAGGACTAGGACTGGAGCCAAGGGATGGTGAGGAGAGAAGAGGGCTGAGGCAGCCAGGCAAGGGATGCTCCCAGGGCAGGCTGGTGGACATTTGGAACTTTGGCTTCAGCTGATCTTGCTTATCCCTTTGGCTTTGGTTGCAAATCTCCATAGGTCTCTAGAAAGCCCGGTGCTCTGACAAACCAGGAGGGAGGTAACTTGGGTTCTTTAAGGGAAGAAATGGGAACCTGTGATACCAGAGGCACTGCTACTTCATGGAGGCATCAAGGCATTGTGGAAAGAGCTCTGGATTTGGAGTCAAAAGAACTGAGTTTGAATTTTGCCTCTGCCGTCTAATACTCATGTGACTTTGGTCAAGTCCCCTAACTTCTCTGAACTTCAGTTTCCTAGTCTGAAAAAAAAAAAGTGGGGTTGGACTAGATGACCTCTTAGGACCCTTCTGGCCCTTGATCTATGATCCTATGATTTTCTGAATGGTGTTCCCTCTTCCTCTGTAGTAACCGCCTCTGACAGCTATGTGAGCCTATGGCTGCCCACAGCTTCAAGTCAAGAATTTCGGACACGTACAGTAAGGAATTGCAGTAACCCTGTTTGGAACCAGACTTTCCGCTTCCGGATCCATAACCACCTCAAGGTGCCCCAGACAATTCCCACTGTCCCCATTCAACTTGCCCTTCTCTTTAAACACACACACACACACACACACACACACACACACATACACACACACACACTGGTTTACTGCTATCTTTTTTTTTATCATCTTCATTTCAAAATGTATGCTTCTCCCCCTCACTCTTCCCCATTCAGGGAGTTACTTCTTATAAAAAGAATTTAAAGGGAGAGACAGAGAGGGAGAGAGAAGGAGAAGTAGAGAGACAAGAGGACGGGAAGGAGAGAGAGATAGAAGAAGAGAGAGGGAGAGACAGGGAGAGGAAAAGAGACAGAGGGAGGGGGGGAAGAAGAGAAAGAGAGGAAGGGAGAGAGAGAGAAAGAAGAGAGAGAACAATTCAGCAACACTAATTCCACAGATTGATCAAGCCTGACAGTATATGCAGTAAGTTCCTGACTTTTGCAAAGAAGAAAGAGGTCAACATTCATTTTTTCATTCATTCATTCATTCATCCATTCATTCAGTAAACATTTATTTCAACATTTCCTTCTACCCATTTGCAGGCTCCTAATCTTCTTGCTTTTTCTCCTGTGAAACTTCATTGTTTTCTCTTTCACTTGCTTTCTCTTCTCTGCCTCCCCCACCCCAGACCCTTTCTTTGAACCCTTTCATTTACTCCCTACCTCCCTTCTCAGTTTCATCATCTGTAAAATGGATTTAATAGTAGCCTACTTCTTATAAGGTCCTTGTGAGGATCAAATGAGATGATGTGTGTAAAGCACTTTTAATATCTTAAAACACTGTTTAAGTGTGATTATTGTTCTCAGAATATACTGGAGCTGAAAGTATTTGACCAGGACCTTTTGACCAAAGATGACCCCATATTCTCTGTGCTCTTTGACGTGGGAACTCTGAAAGTTGGGGAGAGCCAGCGGGAGAGCTTTACCCTTAATCCTCAGGTGAGGCTGTGTTCAGGCCTTTCATGGTAAGTAGGGAAGCCCTTCCTTCTCCAAGTCCATCTGTTTTTAGGCTCAAGGGGCTGTACTTGGGAGCATCAAGGGGAAAGATGGAGAGAGCTAGTTAGAAAGTTATTCACTGGTGCAGTGGGTAGAGCCCTGGAGTCAGGAGGACCTGAGTTCAAATCCAGTCTCAGACCAGACACTTGACACTTACTAGCTGTGTGACCCTGGGCAAGTCACTTAATCCCAATTGTCTCACAACAACAACAACAACAACAACAACAACAACAACAACAACAACAAAAGAAAGTTGTTCACTTCTCTCTCCCCACATGGAACTCTATCCAAACCATTTTCTCCAACAAAGCCAGTGTCCCCAGTAAACTTCTGATTCTGATTCTCAATCCCATTCCGAAGCCCTAAAACA